CTTTTCTCAAAATAGAAGAAAACGCATTTGTTCGATATACTCATCTCAATGCTTTTTCTGTGGACGTTTTTTGGAACATCTGTTTTTTTTTTCCTATTTCAATTCATCCTGTTTTCTTGTCTTTTGTTTCCTAGTTTGCACTGATACTTAATGTATGATAGAACGGGATTTAAAACTTCATTGTGTGAAGGATTAAATGAGGCTGAGTTTAAATAATAGTTTGAACATAATTAAACCATTCTTTCAAAGAGATTACATTTCTAGATAATCTTTATTGCCATTGCTATGTAAAAGATTTAAATCTGTTTCCATCTTTTTCATAAATTGATGCATATGCAAAGATATGATGATATTTCAGATGTGCTTATAAGAAAAAGCTTTATTTTTTTTTTATACTTCCTGTATTAAAAAACCCTGATAATAGCTTAGACTGTAGGTTTTAATTATTTTCTCTCTAAAGGATCCAGAAGTTGATAATTTTTAATGTACTGTGCTTTAAATTGGTGTGTCTGATCCCTTTTCTCTGCTGGTGATATGTGGTGGATCTTCCCATCATCTCCTCCTGGAGAACAGTTGTCTGCTTTTGTATTTGGGAATTTCTTCAGCAATGTAGGTGCAAAGCCAGTTTTACTGATTTAAATTCTCCTAAGATCTGTTTTTACCAGAACACATGAAGAAACTAGCTGCCTAAATCCCAACCAGCTAAAGTCACTTTGCATATTTGAAAGCCGCAACGTTTTATCCCATAACTGGAAAAATTATGTCAGGGAGCCGTTGAAGAGTTGGGAACTGTTGGACTATGTCGGCTTTTAATATCTGAAGACCGTTTCGGAGGTTGTGAGTGCTACTGGACACATACGTAAAATATCAGCCTTTGACATTGTTGTAGCAGCTTGGCTTTGTTAACAGGTTGACATTCACTATGTAGAATGGATTTAATCAATCCGCTGAATTCCTAATATGAGGACTGGATTTACTCTGTTTTTTCCACATTTTACTGAAGTTGCAAGCTGGTATAACGTTGTCTGTGATCGTAGGCAACAGCAATAAAAACTGAGCCAAACATTAGTTTTGTACTAACACATGTAAGAGGAGAGTCGCAGGTGGAAGACAGGTTTTGCATGGTGTTTAGGAGCTCACCTGTAGCCTTCTCTTTAGGCTTACCATTCTATTTTTTGAAGCTCTCTGGAGGATCTACCTGGACTGTCTCCAGGTAGAACAAGTATTTTTGAAGAGATGCTGAACGAGCATTAAATGACAAATTGGTGTCACCACAAGGGGTACCGGCAGGAAGATCTTGCAGATTTACATCTTACAGTGTTTTATCTTAAACCGAAACCTTAGGAAACAATTGGACTGGCTGACAAACAATCCATGTTTGTGAGTGTGATTCTTAAACAAGCCTGGTGTTTATACCATATTCAGTCTGCCTTTGGAAAATTCACTGCAATATGAAGGGCACCTTGGTATGCATCTATCTTAGGATTCTATTGGAAAAATACTCCAAAGATTACAACTGTCCAGGCATATGGAATAGTAATTGCATGCAAATACATTTTATGATTTTTAGCTCAGCTTTGTCAGCTGCAACTGCTGACTGTGCCTATTTAGTTAATGAATGTGTTATGAAAACAGACAGACTATTAAATGGTGAAATGGGGATGAGAACAAGAGACCCAGATACTAAATATACTTTCTTAATCAAGATTATTGAAATTCTACACCTAAAGAAAAATCTGGAATTTTTTTAGTCATGATTCTATTGTGTTCTTATTTAATCACAGGCTATATGGATACATATTACTTGCTTCCTCCTTTTCTCTGTGCAACAGTATTTTAAAATACTGTGCATTTCACAAGGAATGGCTAAAAAAGGGCTCTTTTAATTGTGTACTCACAGTATACTTACGTTCAGCTCTCAGTTATGAGACCAAGGATGTTTACTTTTTCCTGTGAGCTTCAAGTTTGTTGAAGGTTAAGCCTTGAAATTTTGCTACCTTTTAATTCTGATGTAGCCACGCTGTTCGCTGTGTCAAGATGTTTCTCGGAGTCCTTGCTAACCATCGCTGCCACCTTGGAGAGGACTAGAGGAACCATAGAAACATCACAACCAACACAAATTAATCAGTTTTATTTCCTCTCCTCTTTTTAGCTGCTAATTAAAATGAACTTTCTTTAGTTTAACAGGAAACTTAGGTGCACAAAGGGCATTGATTTGATTTGATAGACTTATTGAAAGAAAAATGAGCTTTAGAATTCATAGTAACTAAGAAAAGGGAGTGATAAGTTAAAATCTGGTGAAGTACTTCATAAAACTCAATTATGAGAAAGTGCCTGGCTGAAGTTCTACATCTACACTCATCTTTTTTTATTCTTCATCTAAACCAAACAGTCTTAATTATTTTCACTTCCACTGTGTGTGGAAGGTTAGTGGCGATTCATAAGGCACAAGGTGTTCTTCAGTGCATGGCATGGGCAGCAGTAAGCAGTGCTCGTCATTAAGCACATCTGTTTCCAGTCAAACAAGCTCAAAACAGTCTACAGCAAATAACATGTATCACAGAGCACCTATTATTTTGCTTGTGAAGTGAATGGATGTATTCACTAAGGGGAAAAAGTGCCCTTTGTGATTGTTTGAAGATGTTATTTTTTCTTTCTTGTTACTAGGTTTGCAAATAATAACATTTTAGGTGTGACGAGAACGATTAAATTTCCTCAGAACAGAATAAATGCTGATTTATTAATCAAAAATGGGTTAATGTGAATTTGGATTAATTGTGAAAGAATGAGTAAAGAGCTTATCGAACAATAGAATAGCTGCATGTCTTTGAAACTCAGATCTAGTCCAAGCAACTAGAACATGAAAAAACTGTTGCAAACAATTTTTGAACTGGGCTTTGTTCACGTGTCAACACTCTTTATCTTCAACACTCTTAAAGGAAAACAAAACTTCTGTGAAAATCTCTGCGGCTTGGCAGTGGGAGCAAGCTTAAAATGTGATTGACAAACCATAGAACAGAACTAGGCTGTGTTCCTTCTTTCCTGGGAATTGTTCTGTTCTTTTCTGTCACTTAAGTATTATTTTGTGGAGAAGTGATCTAGAAATTGTTCTTTGAGAACTTACCTATTCTGTTGATCTGCAGGAGAAAGAGACTTTAAGGAGATAAGCCCATCTGATCATAAAAATCCATACTTCCTTGATACTTGATGTATTGAGTATATATAAACTCGCTATATAGTTGAGTTTTAAAAAAGAAGAGTCAGAGCTTGACCCTGATGTCTAATGTATCGCCTGATATGTATGAGATGTGTCCCCCTGCAAAGTAAATGATGTTCAGAGCTGTAACTGAACCACAAGATGAATGAGTAGACCATGTATTTTGGACTGTCTTCCATGGTCTCTAACTCTTCTGCATCAGTCAGTACAAAACCTGACGTTCATTATTAACTGTCTCCAAAGTTAATTTTCATAATAATGTTTCTTCTGTTTTCTGTCCAAAAATGTTGCAGAGGCTGGGGTATACAAAAACTCCGGCCAAAGAAAGAATTCTAGCTGAGGTCAATAATAGTACTGTTTTATATAAGAAAGTGCAATATTAGGATTTGGTGTCCCTGACACCCTTGAACTGATGGAAAGGTAAAATTCCTAGTGTAGACTCAATACTTGTTTTTATGACATTAATGATATATAAAGCTTATGTAATTCTTATGATAATTGAAACAAATGTTTAATAATAAATAACTGTGGTGCTTTACTGAGAAATATAAGAAGCAGCATTGCTTATGCAGGGAAGGACTGGAATATCGTACAGGGAAGGACTGGGTAACCTTTAGGACTGGAGCACTTGGGTGAAATTTGCATTTAAAGACTGAGAACATGTCTGTTTCCAGTGATGGGTTATCACTCTGGTGCGAAGACAAATCGAGGGAACTGCCTGGCTGTCTTAGTTGGTCAAACGATGACGGTGAGTCAGCAGTGTGATTTAGCTCTGACTAAGGCAAACGTTTCTTAAGTAATATCAAGGAAGCTATTTCCAGGACAAACAAAAGTATCGATGCATTTGCCAAAGGGCAGTGCTAAACTTTGGAGTCCGGGGTGCAAAAATGAGCACGTGCATGGAGGGCTTGTCCTCCACAAGGAGACTGAGCGAGCATGGCTTATTCAGTCCATGAGATGAAACTTGAGAAGAGTTTGTAGATGTATTCTATAAATACATTATGGATGTAAACATCAGCGTAGAAGAGGGAAAAGACATTTAACCTGAAAGTCGATGATGATGTAAGAAACTGAGTACAAACTAGCTGTAGGTAAATTTAAGCTAGAAATTAGAAGAAGGCAGGCAAGCCTAGGACAGGACTTTTCCTACATCACTGAGCTCAGTCTTGTCCTATACTATTACAAACGCTGTTTTAAAGATAAGCACATTTTTGCCCCAACTTTCTAACTCCTGTTAGAAAGTTTTCAGCACCAGAATGAATCAGATTCTGAAACTGCTGTCCGCTAAACAAAGTGTGGGTAAAAGGCCCAGCCGTTTTAAAATGGAACTTGCGTCCACACATAGGATTGTGTGATGTGGTTAACTGATAACACAGGGCTGCTTCGTGACCTTGTGATCTGTGTGAGTTCTGTGCCCCATTCCTATTTCTGTTACCGCATTGAATTTCTAGATGTTTGTTGTTTTCCCTTGATAGGTTACTCTTTTAAGACTGTTTTTGAAAATTCCTGATTATGAACAGTGGCCATGTTCCTACTCCGTGTTTGTCACTTTGCTTGAATGTGTCAACAGTGAATTAGCGTTAAATGGTCTGGGAAAAGTGGTTAATATAGGTTAATCTATATTCTTCTTTAATCCTTTGAATTTACTTCCTTGAAGAGACATCAAAGATGAGCTTGGTTCATAAATATGTTTAGAAGATAAATACAGGAAGGGAAAAGAATCCTGTTTTATGGTCTTTGTAAAGCTCAGAAATAAATCCTTTATATGCAGTAATTGACCTATATGATATGTTTTTCCCAGTTTGTTTCAGATCCTTGTGCCAGCAACCCCTGTCACCATGGTAACTGCAGCACTAGCGGGGATGGCTACCTCTGTCTCTGTAGTGAAGGCTATGAGGGAACAAACTGTGAACGCTCATTTCACAGCCTTCCGGTCTCTGAACGGGCAGCGTCGACGTCGCCAAGACAGAACAGACCGGTCTCATCCACCTTGGAACCTGACATCGTTCTTCCTCGTTCAAGAGCAACCGTGACGTTACCTACGTGGCAGCCAAAAGCGGGACAGAAAGTTATAGATCTGAAATGGGATGAAACAGAGGTGAGAATATTCTGTCTAAATGAAGGTGCACAGAAAAGAACTTTTAAGTCTTATCACTGTTGGGTTGTCATTTGTGCATGATTTCATGGATGTCTACATGAGAAGACCGAAGATATGATCTCTGCCCTGAGTTAATACGCTAGTAAAAGTAAACGCAAAAAAAATTGATACTTGTTAAAAGTAATGGGCTTAAGTTGGCCAACATGTTGTATTGGGTATTTCTTTGGAATGGGATAATATTGTTTTTTCCAGTCATTTGTATGACACCATATCTCCAAACATCAAATAAATTTAGGAAAATCAAAAGGTTAAAGTAATACCTTTAATATATTTTTTGCTATTTGCAGTTATAACTGCATGTTGTTTTGAAAAATATGTGTCCCTGCAGTGTTAAGAAAACATAGCTATTTGAGGATTAAAAGTGGTAGTCAATATATTACACGGTGCATAACTCTAGAGATGCAATGATGGTGGAGGAAACTTTTTAAAAGATTTGTTGTATCTCTTAGTAAAATGACAAACTTAATATCTGGCAAAACTACAACTGGAAAGCACACAACATATGACCCTTAAGAAATGTGATCTTTGCTTTCGACTGTTTTGTACGCTGTTTTATTAGTAATTCTTAGATGTCTTGCATAGACTCTAATATCTGCGAAAATAAAAAGTATCAAACTCTTAACCTAGTTACCGTTGAACACTGATCTTTACATGTGAAAACCAAGTATAGATAGGAAGTATGTTTGCTCACAAACAAAGAAGAATTGATTCTTTATCTCTTGATAACTTTTTCATGTATGAAGTTCATTCTGTCACATGATCATCCTCCTCCCTTCTTCTTCGAAAGACTTCCCACTTCTTCGATGGACTTCGAAGTCCATCACTGCAAGGATGACTTGTAGTTCTCTTCGTTGTTGTTTTCTTACCTGGAGGTGCGAGACCACTCCTTCTGCTTGTGTTATTCCTACAGCAGTTGGTACTGGGAGTCTGCAACCTGATCCAGAGATCACCCACCTATAATAATAATAATAATAATAATAATAATAATAATACTACGTATGTGCAAAATGCATTCCAAAGAACAGTCTGCCATAGAAGTGAGCATCTGTTTTGGGAGTAATGGTAGTGCCTTTTTTTTGGTTTTGTTTGGATCAACTTAGTACCGAGCACTAGGGGTAACGAAGCTTGTTGGTGAAGAAATATTATAATTTCAATAGGCAAAGAATTAAAATCTTTGTGACATCTTTTTCTTAATGAAAAATGCATTGTAAAGTCATTTCCTTTGAGTTTATTCAGGAATAAATAGGTAAAATGTCAGCTGTATCTGTTTTTGAAGTGTTTCAAGGAGTGTGATTCTTCTGAGGTGTTTTCACACACTACATAATCAGAAAGTGAACAGGCATGAGTTTAATCCTGGAAAAAGTATATTTTTCATCATTCTTTGCTAGCCCAAACGAATTTGTTCATGTTTTTACTGTAACATTTATTTAAATCAAATTTTGAAAGTAAAATTAACCTACGTAAAATATATGTTTGATGTGTTATGGCTCTCAGATTATTTTTGAGGTACGAGTAGTTATAGGGCTGTATCCCATTTCAGTGGGAGTTCTGGTAGGCAATGTCTGGAGAACAGAGCTTTATTTCCCGGAATTCCATCTCCCATACCTATTATTTTACAGTAGAACATATGCCAGGCACCAAGGATGGAGTTTGAAGAGAGCACTGAAGCAGAAACAAACAATGACCTGCTTTTATTACTTAGTTTAAATGCAGTGTCATCTCTGCATGGGTGCTCCATATGTCCTGATCAATTAAGGGCACGCACTTCTCTGTACCAGATTTCCCTCGTGTGTCTTCCTTAATCTGTGGTCTGGTATTGTATAAGTAACGTTGCTGCCTGGTTTGCATTTTAAGTAGATTCACTAAGCATTTCAGCCAAACAGATCATTCACAAGCGGATATAGCTGAAATTCACCCTTCCGCGTGTCTTCTCTGACCTGAGAAATACATACAGGCTATCAATTGCGATTGCATTATTAGCACTGACATGGAAATTACTTGTTCACCTATTATGAAATTACTTGTGTTGGTATGTTTTTAATATATTGTGACGGGTCTTGTATTTTTCACAGTCTTTCTAGTGTAGCATAATGACCTGCTGTTCTTTGGAATTCACAGTGAGAGAGATGCTTATCCGAAAGAGAGAGATTTCAGTTGCTGATTCAAGACATTGTCTCTGATCTATATTAAACAAAAGAGAGTTGATTTGCCTGATCTGTGTTCCAAAGCCTCTTTGGTGGAGGCTTCAAGAGTAAGGAGTTAAGTGTTAAGCAGGAAAATGCTACCTTTCTTCATAGCTTTAAAAGCTTTGCAAAGCTCCGTCCTTTTTTGCCCTCTTAAAAGGAAAAAAATAAAGTAACTGTAGGTTTTGTATTGCAAAAATCTACTGTTTTGATCTTCCTTGAGATTCAGAGGAAACAAAGGCTGCTATTATTACGTTGTTGGGGTTTTGGTGTGTGGGTTTTTTGTTTTTTTTTTTTTTTTAAATCTTCCAAATCAGCCTGTTTGTCACATTATTCTATACTGATACTACAAGTGAACTAATGTTCTTCATACTCTTTTGTCTGTCTGCTCAGAGAGAAATTTTGCCAGCATCTCTCCAAATGAAGGCTCTTACTGTCTTGCAAGGGTGAAGTTTCCATGGAAGCTTTTTCAGGAAGTTTTGGAACTGAAAAAATGAACACCTGAGAGAAGTAAACTGTCTGAGGGAGACACGATGTATAGTTACAGTTGGACATTTTTTCTGCATTCCTTAGATACTAGGGATATACTTGGCAGTGCTTGCTTGACTGAACCTTCTCGGTAGTGTCTGCGCCAGTAGACAACATACAGATGTCTTTGGATACAGTTTCATCTCTTAGAGAGCTCTTGATATAAGAGATTAGTCTTCTCCTGATATGCGGATTAAGGGCTACAAACACAGATCATTGAGAGAAAAATATTCTTGTCTGTTGGTTTCTTTAGTATAATAGGAATTTATCTTTGTGCTCAGCTGTTGAAAGAGAACTTTTTTTCCTACTTTGGGCAACTAACTTGTTCCACTTGCAAGAGAGATACAACCAGCAATCCGCATTTCCCCAGTTCAATGATCTTTTGTGTTACAGTGTAGAAAAGGTATGTATTATCCAATAACAGAAGAAAAAAGAAGCCATCTCATTAATCCTACTCAACTAACAGATCCAACAAAGGTTTCTGTGTACAAAATCAACTGTAAGAATAGCAGTACCACACTCTTATATCTTACTTTTCCTTAATAGCTCTCAAATTTTTTTTCAAAGGAAGTCAGCAGCGTTATTCACGTTTTACAGATGGAGACACTGAAGCGCAGAGTAGTAAAGTGATTTGCCAGGTGCGCAGCCAGGAATTAGAATGCGAAGCATGTGAGTCCTACTCTAACGCTGTATTTATACTGCCATACCACTGCTCAGATTCAAGCTTCTGGAACTAGTGATTAGAGGCTACAATAAACTTGTAATTCCCCTTGCAATGGGGACAGCATTTGTTTTATGTGTGTTCTTAGTGAGTTATAAGCCTTTAAAAGGAGTATGGCTGGGTCAAGTGGAAAATCCTGAAAGAGAGTGCTCCTGCTCTGCAGCAGTGGAATATGCTTAAGGAATAATTCTGCTTGAAACAGAGACCTTTGAATCTTTGACTGCTTTATGTGTTGCTAAATGTTCATGCATTTTTTTGCCAAAGTATGCTATGAGTGCAGAAGGAGGCTGAACAGAATCATGGAGGAGAGATCCGTTTGACGTTGCTAAATACATAGAAACTCCACCCTTAGAAATGACAGCTTAGGAAAATCTTTGACATGGAAATGGGTGGAGGCTGGAGGAAATATGCTGGCCCTTTTCTTATCCTATTTTCTTGCCATTCCCTCTTATGATTGCTGTTGAAGTTAAAGTACTGGACTATGTATACTTTTGATTTGATGTAGGACGGCTCTTCTTATACCTGTACGTAAGTTCGTTTTGGAAGCCTTTATTATTTTTCTTTTGCTTTTAGAAAAAGATATCATACAAATAAATGAAGGAAACAGGTTTTGCTGGAATAATCTTAACTTTCTTCTAGGAAAAATCTGTAACTTCACTAAATCTCTCCTCTACAATATTTGTGTATGGAACTTTCTGTACAAACACCATCCTGATAGACAGCTTGGTGTAGAAGTATCTATGGCTGACTTGACAGACTTTGGTTGAAGTTTATGTCCTAGCTTGCTCTCCAGTGGCCTGAGCTCATACACTGCATGTAAAGATTTGAATATGGAATTTTTCCTCAATGAGCTTGTTTCCACAGTGTTTACCTTTATTATTCAGAACAGCTCTGTACACTCTGGAATAAGAAATGACCATTATTTGTTCAAGGAAGTAATATTTGTTGAATTACTGTGTCATGGTTTAACCAGGGGGTAGGCAGCTCAGCCCCACGCAGCTGCTTGCTTACTCCCCCTCCCAGTGGGATGGGGGAGAGAATTGGAAGGGTAGAAGTGTGAAAACTCGTGGGTTGAGATAAAGAGAGTTTAATAAATAAAAAAAGGGAGAAAAAGAAAAAACCCAAACAAAACAAAGAAAAACAAGTGATGCAAAAAAACCCAGTTGCTCACCACCAACTGACCGATGCCCAGCCAGTCTCTGAGCAGCAGCAGCCCTGGCCAACTTCCACATCCCCCCCCCCAGGTTTATTGCTGAGCATGATGTCATATGGTATGGGATGTCCCTTTGATCAGTTGGGGTCAGCTGTCCCACTGTGTCCCCCCAAACTTATTGTGCGCCCCCAGCCTACTTGCTGGCAGGGCAGTCTGAGAAGCAGAAAAGGCCTTGACTCTGTGTCAGCACTGCTCAGCAATAACTAAAACGTCCCTGTTATCAACACTGTTTTCATCACAAATCCGAAACAGAGCCCCATACAAGCTACTGTGAAGAAAATTAACTCTATCCCAG